TAGCAATAATTTTACTGATACACTTCAGCAACACATTACAACAGGCAATGGGCCGATAATCAGTAACACAAGAAGCATTAGGAACCTTCAGGACAAGACAAAGTAGAGTATGGTTCAACTGATATTCCAAAGTTCCAGAATAGAAGAAATTATGAATCCCAATGAGAACATCCCTACCTACCACACTCCAAGCCGCTTTAAAGAATTTTGACGAAAACCCATCAGGTCCTGGAGCCTTATCATTCCCAATATCAAACAAAACATCCTTTATTTCCATATTTGGAATTGGCCTGATTAAGTGCAAAGATTCCGATAACGATAGAGAATGAACAAACGAACAATCCTCCATTGAAGGAGGAACCAACATATTAGAAGTACCCAGAATTCCTTCAAAATGGGAGAGGAAAGCAGTAGATACCTCCTGATGATCATAAACTGTACCAGAAGAATCCCTTATAGTAGCAATATGGCTCCTATTACGCTTCTCTTTCATAGCATGAAAGAAAAACTTTGAGTTTCCATCCCCTTCATTGAGCCAAGAGATCTTAGCTTTTTGTCGAACCATATCCTCTTGATCATTTCTAGCCTTTTGATATGCTAGTAAGAGGTGAGCAATATCCTCTTTCAGCAAATCATTAAACGGGTCTAGATCACAAGCCAATTGAGCAACATCAAGTTTTGTCTTTAACTGAGCCACCCTTTTATCCAAACATCCATAAGAATTTCTGAGCCGACGACAAACTCCTTTCATATCTTGCAATTTCCGAAGCACTCTTTTCATATATGAACCTCGGTGAGGTTTCATCCACACCCCCTCCACAGACTTAAGAAAATCCACATGAGAAGTGACAAAATTATCAAATTTAAAACCTCGCTGACGAAGACGTCTACCAACTTTAAAAGAAAGGATACCCGGAGAGTGATCTGAGATCCCCCTTGGTTCAAAGAAAACCGAGGCGTCCCCAAATCTAGCAATAAAAGCAGAATTCCCCAAGATACGATCAAGTTTACACATTATACCATTACCCCCAGAAGGTTTCTGTATCCAGGTAAATTGGCATCCCTGATACGAGATATCAAACAATTCTGCCTCTTCCAGACAAAGATGAAACTCCTCCATATCAGAATTTCGTCTAGAGGAGCCTCCCAAACCATCATGTGGAAAAAGCATTGAGTTGAAATCTCCCATCACAACCCAGGCTTTCCTTTGAACAAAGGCACTAAATTTACCAATATCTTTCCAAAGGTCACGCCTTTCCAATCCCGTATTACATCCATAAACAAAAGAAATAAAAATTGGTTCAAGGTGACCAATAATCCTAATTTCACAATGCATATATTGAGAGTGCTGCTCAATCATTAACAGGGATAACACAGACGGATCCCAAGCAATAATAAGACGCGTACCTTGGTCACACATTAACCTATTTGTGATCCAACTCCAATTACCAAAAACTCTACCACAAACTTCCCCAGATGACTATGAACTACTTTGGATTCAATAATGCAATATAAAGAAAGATGCTTTATATGAATCAAACCACGTACCTCTTTTTGTTTTATAAGGGCATTTAGACCCCTAATATTCCATGCAACGAACTTTATCATTGAGACGTTGAAGTGTGACTCGCCGCTCCTCGTTGGTCCATAATATGCCCCTCGGTATCAATGATCTCCATATCATCATCATCACTAGAGTCATCAGACGGTAACGAAGAAAAACGATTACTAACATCCGTGGCACTAACAGCACCTCTTCTTGGTTTGAAAGCATGGACCACCATTTTAACAAGCTCCGGACCCCCCTTAGTTAGAATTTGGACATTCGAAAAAGCATCTCTCCCTTTTGGTGTTCTCCAAGCATCCACCGTACAAAACTGACTTCCCTCCCGTTCCACACCCTTTCCATCCAAAATTTTAGGACCAGCATGCCGTATAACCCAGGACAGGCAAAACCTCATTAACTTGTTGTAAAATGCCAACCCCAGTTTGCATGTCTTTAGAAGCAAAAGTCGTACCTGAAGTAGAAGCTTGAGCATCAATACCGGATCCAGATTTAGACTTTGGCTTCCAATGTTTACGTCCAGGGTCTTGAAACCCCTCATTAGGCGAAAGAATTGCATTGACCTTAGGCTTTTTAATTTCCCCTTTCATGCATGACGACGTACGATGACCAAAAACTTTGCATTTCGAACATTGGGAAGGAACCTGATCATAATCCAAAACCACATTGATCACATCCTCACCAGTACCCGAAAGCCTCGGAATAACAACCTCAATTTGCCTCTGTATTTCACCCACAGCCCAAACATCCACCAACACTTTAGCAAAATTCGTACGACCCCAAGCTTTATCACAAGTGCTCATAGTGCAAGCATCCAGACGCAGAGGAACACCAATAGCACTAGCAATACGGCTAATGCCCTCTCTGTTGAAAGCAACAAGAGGGATATTATAGAACTTAATCCATAATGGGCAAGAAGTGTGTTCAGGTTTCTGAAGACCCTTTGAGGGGTCCCAAGTGGAGACAAAAAGCGGCCTCCCTCTAATCATGAGGGGAGACGACTCAACCACTTGGTTGCACCCACCATCATCATTAAATCGAAAAAGGAAATAACCAAGGTCATTAACCATAGCATCTTGAAGGCCAAACTTTCCCCAAGCATTCTGAACCGCACGAAGGACGATGGGAAATGGAAGGCGAGGTCCAAGAAAATACCTATAAAGAACCGATTGGAAAGATTTGGCCATACCTTTTGTAGCTTCCAAAGGGAAAAAGATCCACGGTTTCACACTCTTCTCAACCGGAAAATAAGTAAGCTCTGTCTTTGAAGTGCCTCCCACAATTTCAGCAAAGGACTTAGGAGGTACCACGTACGGTTCACCCCTAACCGCAGGAGAAATACGTTCCCACACCGAAACCCTTTGATTCGGTTCAACATTAACCCCAACCTTCTTCTGGATACCGTCATGCAAAGGAGTTCCTTTCACCATACTAGGAACCGTCTCATCCAGGATTACATCGGCGAAATCCTGGGAAGAAAATTCTTCCAAAATAACATCCGCAAAATCAGACATCATCACCAAAGCGCAAAGAATACCTAGTTTGCTATAACCCTAATCAAAAAGTCGTAGTGCTGAATCCCTAGTCAAGCGTTCTCAATAAAATAGACGAAGACCTTACAGGAAGGTGCTGAATATTCTATCAATAAACTCAACAAAGGAGACGAAGACCACAGAAACACTTGACGCAGGAAAAGAAAACTAGATAACGTCACACAACCAACCCGCAACCAAAACTGTCAATGGACGAAAGGAGGAAGCAAGCAAATCCAAACAGCCCACAACAATACCACGATTGCATGCAAACCCTAGCCGTGCAACCCTAGACGCATGCAAACCCTAGCCAAGAAAAACCGAAAACGGCCAACCGTAGACTCAACCCGTGAGCAAAGGCCGCAAGCAATCAAACCCCAATGCTAAACCCAAAAAGACCGATCACAACAACCAAGAAAGACGGCACAAACCCTAGGAAACAAGAAAGCATGCAACAACGGCCGAAAAGAAACCCTAGCCGTGAGCAAAACACTTCACGGCCAAGATGGGAAGTAACAACCCAAGTCGTGTCAAACAACACGGTTTACCAAACTCAAGAAGAAACCGCACACACCAACGAAAGAAAAGGATCGAAAAACCAACCTCAATTGAAGAAACCCTAATGCCGCCTCCAAAGGAAACCGAAAGAATCCTAAACCGTGAACAAAACAACTTTTGAAGAAGAAGTCGAAATCAAATCAATAACAAGCACCAAGCAAACCGAACGCAAAACATCAAGAGGAAGCAACCAAATAGAAGAAACCCCAAAGTCGACTTCAAGAAAAACGAGAAACCCTAATCCGTGAGCAAAACGGCTTGTCAAGGAGAAATCGATGGCAAGCCAATAACGAACACCAAGCAAAACAAAGCGCAAATATCAACAAGGAGCAATCGAAAACATCATCTTCATCTTCATACAATCAAGCCACCTTGAGAGAAAAAGTCAAACCCTAAATGTCATAAAAGGAGTCTTTTTTTCCAGAAGGAGTCTAATTGGGTCAAAATGAGACTAGATACATTGAAGGGTATAATCGGCTTATTTCCCCATTTTGAGTCTAATTGAGTTATAATGGTGCTAAATGGTTCATAATTAGTCTAATCAGAAGTTAATGGGAGCAATTGAGGTAGAATGAGTCTTATTGGTCCTTGGTGTGTCCATTTTGTGTTAGTGGATATAATGCGCTATTTCTCCATAAGGAGTCGATTTGGGTCATAATGACACAAACTAGGTCGTAATTAGTCTGAATAGGACATAATGCGTATAAGCGCCCCATCTCTCCTTGAGGAGTCTAATTGGGTCCAAATGATACTAAATGAGTCAAACTTAGTATAACTAGACGTTAATGTGACTAATTGAGGTATATAATGGATCTTAAGTTTCCATTTGGTCCTAGTAGGAAGAACGTGCCTACTTTTTTTAATCGAGTCATTCGTGTCAAAATGAYAYTAAATGGATCGTAATTAATCAAATTGGACCCTAATTGGTTTAATAGGCCCATTTCTTTATAAGGAGTCTAATTGGGTCAAAAAGACACCAATTGGTGNAATGGATCGTAATTAATCAAATTGGACCCTAATTGGTTTAATAGGCCCATTTCTTTATAAGGAGTCTAATTGGGTCAAAAAGACACCAATTGGTGCATATTTAGTTTGATCAGACCTTTTTTTTTTTTGAAAGAGAACCAGGCAAATTTATAAACCAAAAAAAGATTAGTACAACTGAAACGGAAAGACGAGAAGACCACTACCTACAAACAAAAACCCCACAGACTTGGAGAACACCCCACCAAGCCACAACAAGCCAAAAGAAACAAAGCCCAATAGAAGCAAACACACAACAAAACATAAAAAAGAGGAGCTTAAACGTCAACAAATCCCCCCAAAGCTAAAACCAAACCACCATATCAACCAACATTTAGCATAGGCCAACGCGCCAACCAATCCGCACGAATGGAGATAGAATCAAGAATAACTTTGATAAGTTGCAAAGTCGTGCGACGATCCTCAGTAAAGAGTCTTCTATTTCTTTCTTGCCAAATATAATACACAGACGCCGCCACCGCCAGTTTTTGCTTCAAGGATTTCGAATGTCGCCTAGAATCCGAAAGGACTACCAAAATATGATCCCACATAGAAGGCATATCCCTCAGGTCCGTAATGTGTAAGATACTATTCCAAACTTCATGAGCATACTGACATTGAAAAAATAAATGGACATGGCTATCCATACATTGCCCACAAAGCGAACATTTCAGCTCCGGTGGTTCATCCTTCCAAAGGAAACGATCTTGAGTAGGAAGACGTCTCTGACAAGCAAGCCACAAACAGAATGCATGTTTCGGTAGATGGCCCGAGAACCATACCGATTGTACCAAGGGACCACCTGGTGATTTCCCTCTAAAGAAACCCAAGCATTACTCACCGTAAAATCCGAACAAGCATTTCGATCTTCCCCCCAAGGAACTCTGTCACAAACAGAATCATTCAACAAAGGTAACGGAGAATTATGAATTACCGCAAACCTGCTACACCAATCATCTGGCCAAACACCATTCCAGCTCATAATCAAATCACGAATCGTCGTAAAAGTAGAGAACCCACAAGAATGGACAAACCGGTACGAAATAAAAGCTGAAAGAGGACCACAAGTTAACCAATCATCCTCCCATGCATTCGTATCCCGACCATCACCAACTTGAGAAAAAAGGAACCTTCTCAAATGACTACGTAAGTCCAAAATTTTACGAAAGACCCACGACCAATTAGAATTCTTCTGAACCCGCCAGAAGTGAGAGGAGCGTAAATTATGACTATTAAATCCAACGAACCCACAAAGAAATCCCGATGTCTCACTATATCCCACACATGTTTAGCCAGAAGAGCCCTATTCCAAGTGGATAATCGCTTAATCCCAAGACCCCCAGATTCAAGCGGTCGACAGACCATATCCCAAGATAACCGACATCTACCTCGAGGAACTTCCCTTGGAGCCCAAAGGAATTTCCTAAAAATAGATTCTAGATCATGGATTAACCCCGACGAGAATAAGAAAACCGACATCCAATAAAGTTGAAGTGATTGGAGAACCGATATAATTAGTTGACGTTGCCCACCAAACGACAAAAACTTGGATTTCCAATTAAGAATGCGACCCTTTACATTAGCAATCAACAGAGCATAATCACAAATCTTCAACCGAGCCTGAGATAAAGGGACCCCCAAATATCGGACAGGAAAAGAACCTAGCTTGAAAGGAAGACACTCTAGAATGACCTCCTTTATGTTGGGAGGCACATTACCAAAGTAAATATCGCTTTTTTCAAGGCTTGGAGCTAATCCCGAACGACTCTGAAAAAGAAACAGACATTTTTAAGCACTTCCACGGAAAGAATATCCCCTTTTGTAAACACAAACAAATCATCCGCGAAACAAAGATGTGTCAAATCCAGCTCCTCACAACCCCTATGGTAACCAAAGTCGGCAACCTCTTGAATACAATGTTTAAGGAGCAAAGAAAACCCCTCCATCACGATTGTAAACAGATAAGGGGATAAAGGATCGCCCTATCTAAGTCCCCTCCCACCATGAAAGAACCCATAGGAATTACCATTGATGGCAAGAGAATAAGACGTAGTTGAAACCATCTCCTTTATCCATCTGAGTATCACAGGATGGAATCCCAATCCTTGAAGCATAACAATAAGGAACCGCCAATCCACCGTATCATAAGCTTTTTTAATATCTATTTTAAAAGCACATCTAGGTTTGGTACTACTTGGCCGGTGGATTGGATACAACAATATCCCCAACTGCAAAGTGTTATGATACCCCTTCCCAGTCAAATTGAGGATACGGTCAGCTGGCTTGATGCTAAGCATACTCGGAAACAATTTGAAGTAAAAGTGGCATGGCACACATTACAAGAAGTGGGGCCGATTGTGCATTGGTACAAGGTGGTATGGAATAAAGCATACGTATCTAAACATGCTCTGTGTATGTGGATGGCTTGTCATAACAGATTACCAACAAAAGATCGCATTAGTCAGTGGAAGCATGAACCTCCGGATTTGAAATGTGTTTTCTGTAATTTAGTGATTGAAACGCACAATCACTTATTTTTTGATTGCAACTACTCGAGTAGTATATGGGAGGTTATTAAAAAGGAAGTTGGGATAATGAATTGTCCAAACAAATGGGAGGAAATTCTTATCAGGGGTTTATCTCAAAGGTGGAAATCTTGGTCTACGGCTCAAAAACTTGGTATATCGGCTACGGTATACCACATATGGAGGGAAAGGAACAGAAAATTCTTTGAAAATTACAATCAAGTTGGCGAAAAAGTTGTGGCGGAGATCAAGATTCAGATTCTTCAAAGAATGGCATGGAAGACAAGGAAGAAATTCATACGAATCAATGATGCGTGAAAAAGTGCTTGATGAAGGCTNTCAAGATTCAGATTCTTCAAAGAATGGCATGGAAGACAAGGAAGAAATTCATACGAATCAATGATGCGTGAAAAAGTGCTTGATGAAGGCTTTCGGTTTTGGAAGATGGCGGGGATTTGCTCCTTCTATTCTTTGGCTAGTTTTACTTTTACTTTTTGGTGCATTTCTCTTTGTCTTTTTTGGCTTCTTATGGCTTGGTTTGTAAGCCAAAGTTGCCGTAGCTTTTCTTGCTGATTACTCTTTGTATGGTTTTGCTCTTTTTCTGTCTTTATAAAATTGCCTGGGGAAATTCCCCTTTCAGTAGGTGGACCCGACGTGGTCTGGTACCTAGAAACAAGTTCATGCGCCATCAGGATATTATCCGTAATCCTCCTACCTGGAATAAAAGCCGATTGGGCTTTATCAATTAAGGAATCCAAAGAGTCCTTCATTCTGTTGACAATTAATTTACTGATGCATTTATAAAGCACAGTACAACAAGCTATAGGCCGATAATCCGTAACCCTAGATGCATTAACAGATTTAGGGAGAAGACAGATAAGAGTATGATTCAAATTCTTCGGGAGGTTACCTCGATAAAAGAAGTTGTGGATGGCAATCTCCACATCACGGCCAACAATGTCCCAAGACGCTTTGAAAAACTTTGAGGAAAATCCATCTGACCCTGGCGCTTTATAATTACCAATGCTAAACATAACATTTTTAATTTCTTCATTTTGGAGCGGTCTGATCATATGGTTAGCTTCCGAAACAGAAAGCCTTCTCGAGAAAACCTCATCAGGCATAGACGGATCATCGGAAACATACCTCATACCCAAAAAATCTTTAAAATGATCCACAAACACTTTAGGGACATCATCTCCATAGACTTACTAAACTCCACTACTCGTGCAGACTAACTGAATGGAGTTGGAGTAATGCCGCTCTTTGATCACCTTATGGAAGAATTTGGTATTCAAATCACCTTCATTCAACCACTTAATTTTAGCCCGTTGTTTAGCAGCACTTTCCTTATCCCGACAAGCATTCTGATACGCAATACGAATATGACCAAGATCTTGGCCTAACTCACCATTAGAAGGGTCTTTATCTACATCCATTTGGATGCGGTCTAATTCAGTTTTTAAAAACGAGACTCGCTTGCCAAGATTACCATAGGAGTTTCGAAGTTGCCGAAGAGGAGTCTTCAGAGCCTTCAAGTGAGAAGCTATTCGAAACATAAAAGTGCCCTCAATATGTTTGGCCCATTCATCTTTAACAACTTGTAAGAAGGCTGGATGTTCAGTAATAAAATTGTCAAATTTAAATCCATACCTCCTTTTTCGAGTGCCACATTTGAAAGATAAGATCACTGGCGAGTGATCCGAAAGGCCCGAAGGATGAAATTGAACAGTAGCATCTTGGAATTTGGACGTAAACTCTGAATTTCCCATAGCTCTATCCAGCTTACGCATGATACCCCCAGAAGAGTTCGGCTTTTGATTCCACGTGAAATGGACGCCTGTATAGTGTAAATCAAAAATTTCCACATCCTCTACACACGCATAAAAATCAGACATATCCGTATTACGGCGAGAAGACCCATCAAAACCGTCATGGGGAAATAACATGGTATTGAAATCCCCCATTACAACCCACGGAGAATAACCAATCAGAACTTTAAATTTCCGCAGACCCGACCATAATTCTCTTCTGGCATTACATACATTAGCCCCATAAACCAAAGAGACGAAAATGTAATCATGGCTACCTCAAACTAAAACTTTACAATTTAAGAATTGACTATGAGCCTCTAAGAAAATGACATCTAAAACTCTTGAATCCCAAGCAAGGATTATACGAGTACCATATTCACTCATCGCTTGATTAGACAACCAAAACCACTTGCCAAAAGAATTATAGCATGCACTTTCTAGGGAGTCCTTAGCAACATGCGATTCTATAATGGCACACAAACACACATCATTACAATGAATCAAATTCCTCACCTCTTTTTGTTTAACCGGAGAGTTGAGCCCCCGGATATTCCATGAAGCAAAGTTCAACATGAGGAAGATGTTGGAATGTCCCCTTGATCCAGATTATCCCCATCCAGATTTTGCACATTAGAAACTTTTTCAGCACCATCATATGAGAGTCCAGCCGAGCAACCTCCTCCCCTAACTTCTCAAGAACACCAAATCGATTAGAAGCTTCAACAGGGTTTATCATAACCCCCCTTCGTGGCAAACGGAAATTTTTTATCACATAAGAAAGGAGCGGGGTAGAAGTAGACATAGAATGAGACTGTGAAGAAGAGGCCCCAGAAGTTACATTCATACCTGAATCACCAGAAGCATTCCTCCCCTTATTTCTATGCGGATTAATCGGCCCTACGTTATTGGTAACCGAATTCCCCTCCGTTTCCAGATCTCCTCTCACGGTATTCTCCTCCAAAGACGCTTCATGAGGACCATTCTCCTTACTCACATTATCCTGCCTTAGAGTAGAGTGATTGGATCTACCTCCAACCTTGACACGCCATTGCTTTTTCTCCACTCTTGTAAACCCGTCCGAGTCTTTACGCCCATCGGTTTGCTTTCCTTTATTCAGACTAGCGGCTTTAGCACATGACGAAAGTTTATGTCCAAAGATTTGGCAATGGGTACATTGAACCGACTCCCATAAATATTCAACCTGTATTTGCACACTTTCAGCATCCCCTCCATTAATATTAGGAATTTCAACATCAATTTTTCTTTTAAGTTCTCCTACAGCCCAAACCTCAACTAGAACTTTAGCAAAACCGGGTCTACCCCAAGCCTTTTCACACATAGCTGCACTACAAGAATCCATCTGCTTTGGAACACCCAAGGCACTTGCAATACGACTAACACCCTCTTTATTGAAAGCGACTAAAGGAATGTTACGAAGTTTCACCCACAACGGACAAGATGAGTGTTCCGGTTTCCTTAATCCCTTGGATGGATCCCATCAATGGACAAATAAAGGGACACCTCTAATCATCAAGGGGCCAGCCTCAATCACCTGATCACATCCACCCACATCATTAAATTTAAAGAAGAAAATTTCATTCTCGTTTAGCATCGCGTCCAAAAACCCAAACTTTCCCCAAGCCCTTTTAACAAAAATTTTCACAAGAGGAAATGGGATACGAGGTCCCAATAAATATCCATACAATACTGAATTATAAGCTTTGGCAGCTTCCTTCGCCATTTCAATTGGGATTGTCACACTAACCTGCTTTTTGTCCGCGAGGGGATAAAAGTTCAGATCCGTGGCCTCAGAATGGCCAACCGCTTTAGCAAAGTTAAGATTCGTGCGGCCCCCATTTCCCGTACCATTTAACCGATTTCCAACCATATTTTGATCAACATAAGAAAGACGCTCAAAAACCGAAACCCTATTAGGGTCAGTAGGATAATTTTCATCAACAGATCCCATTTCACAAGCTAAGAAGTCGTGGTGCTGAAGTTCTCGTAAAATATCCAAGGTAAGTTAGACGAAGACCCCGTAAGGAGGTGCTGAATAACCACCAGGAATACTCTCAAAAAACAACGAAGACCACAGAAACACTTAACCAGCAAAAAGGAAACAGATAACGCATAATCACTTATTTTTTGAATGCTCTTATTCAAGTAGTATTTGGGATGGTATTAAAAAGGAGGTGGGATTATTGTCTTATCCGAACAATTGGGAGGATATTCTTCACAGAGGGTCCGCTCAATCTTGGAAATCTTGGTCTACGGTCCAGAAACTTGGTCTATCGGCAACGGTTTATAATATCTGGAGGGAACGAAACAGGAAGTTCTTCGACAATTTCAATCATTCGGAGGATAAAGTGATTGCGGTGATCAAGATGCAGATTCTCCATCGAATGGCTTGGAAGACTAGGAGGAAGATTTTGAATTCCAATGTTTTGTGATGTTGTGGGTGGTGCTCCTTTTGGGTTTTGGGTCTTTTGGGTTTTTCTTGCCTTTTGTATTTTGGCGAGGTGTGTTGTTTTGTTTTGGTGTATTTCCCTTTGTCATTTTTGGCTTCTTATGACTTGGTTTGTGAGTCAAAGTTGCCGTAGTTTCTCTTGCTGATTGCTTTGTTTGATGACGCTTTTATTGTCTTTATAAAATTGCCTGGGGATTTACCTTTCCCCTTTCAGTAAAAAAGAAAACAGACAAAAACCAATCCCACGGGAAATCAAGCCGATTACTACAAACAAACCCCACTAAAAAAGATTACCAGCAGCAGGTCTATCCAAAGGATTAAAAACGGGTAGTAGAACAGTAGCAAACACATAGCCTCTGCCCCACTCGAACCACTAGACAGCAGCCTCGACGATCCTTCTCACAAACTTCCAGAACCAAACAGCCTAGAAAAGCTAGGCACCCGAAAACAGCAGCCAAAGACGTGTAGAAATGAAAGCAAAACGTTCTGCAGCAGTGGACAACTAGAACGAGAACAAAATAGCAGAAAAAATACCAGCAGGTTTACAGCAGTTACCCACCAGCTTTTTGCACAAACACAGCAAGAAGCAGCAGCAGCAAACCAGAAACTAACCCGCAGCAACTACATAGCAACTAAAACGGTTAAGCAACTAAGCAGCGGCCAAAACAAATAGCGAAGCAGAATGACCAGCCGTTCATAAAACTACCAGAATAGCACTCTAGGTAGCCAAGAACAGTCGCAGCAAAAAAAAATCAGCAAACGCAGAGAACCAAAACAGCACTATAAACCGCCTTAACTCGATCTGCTTTCAAACCAATACGTGCAAACCAAAAACCAATAACCTGCAGCAATGCAACCAATGAAATCAACAGTAGCAAGTCGATCAATAAACTCCTCACGACAAGCACAACATAAAATCACAACAAGCACAACATAAAATCATGCTAAGAACAACGAGAATCTTTTATTCAAACGCACAGCACGAGAACAAATAGATTCAGGTTTAACATAAAATCATGAAGGTTTCACACTCTACCACAGCCGGATCAAAGAAACCCAAACCGAAGCTGTTGTATAAACAGTAAAACCCTAGCCGTATAAGCTGTATAAACCGCAAAACCCTAAATCGCCAAACACGCTACACACAGCCCAAACCACCTCTCCAACAGCCCAAGAAAATGAAAACACAAACAACCAGATCGTGGACAAAAGCAAGATTCAATCGAGGAGAAGAAACAGAAAACCAAGAACGAGCAAACCCTAAAAGAAAGGAAAACCGTACCACAGGCCAAAACCAGATGCAGCAATCGAAGATGCATACAAATCAACACATACTCCAAGGATCAACCAAGAATCATCCTCACGAACAGCATTGCATCAGATCTTCATCAAAATCGCATTATTTTGAGAGAAAAAGTCAAACGTGGTCTTGGGTCCCAGTTTTCATAGACTAGATGTTATTGAGGAGAAAACGTCAGGTTTGGCCTAAAACTTTATAAACCTTGTTTTGACTTAAAAGGTTTAGAAGTGGCATTATGTGAAACCTGTTTGATTCAGAGGTATGAGATTTGTATAAGTGAAAACTTTGCTTGAAATATCGAAGAAGTCTGGTATTGATATCTTATTTGTTCATATATTTGTTATATATATGAATAATTGTTTTCCATAAAGGTTTTTGGTGATTTTCACCCCGCAATAACATAAATAGGGTATCTCACTAGACCTTTCGGTCTAACCCTCGTTTTGTGATTTTAACTATGTGTTGCAGGAGGTACGAATAATAAGGGAAAGGGGAAGATTTAATAGTTTCCTATATGCATTTATACTCGAAGATATGCTTTAATGTATAGTTTTGATTGATTAGTACAAGTGATGTATTATAATTTTTGGACCTTGTATTTGGTCATATTAGATTATTGTACTAAGGGACCTGAATGGGATGATATCATGTATTTCTTTTATATGAAATATGTGTTACATGCAATGTGTGGTTTGGGGGTGTTACAATATCACATACTTCCGAAGATTCGACTCCAATCCCCATATATACTTTCTCACTTTACTGTTTTCAGATATTATATAGGCTTGAGCAAACCTAGATTGTTCCATGAAAACTTCTGTATATTGGCGGATTGACATGTCTCCTTGCTCAAGACGAAGGAAATCATCTTCCAATTTTCGTACTACAGCTTCAGGACAATACTGCATTTTAAACTTAACCACAAATTCGTCCCACAACATGGTCTTCAAAATGTTCGGATCTGAACTGGACAGGACTTCCCACCAGTACAAAGCACTTGATCTCAGACGTGACACAGCAAACATAACTTTATCCTCTTCTGCACTTTTACTAATTTGCAGACTCAGCTCTGTCTCCTTAAGCCGACACATAGCTTTAGCAGGATCACGCTCACCAGAAAACTTGGGAGGCTTACAAGCAAGAAACATTTTGATATCTCCTCCTTTTTGTACTGAGGATGAAGTAAGGGGTACAGATGTACCAGTTACCGGTGTACTAGCTCCGGCTTCCTCCTGATAATCGGAATTTCTTACCACTTCTGGATTATTTTGGGTTGTACGCCCCAACAAATTCACCAAACTTTCTTGGAATTTTCCCAACTCTGCTGCCAACATTTCTTGGGTAATAAATCCGGGATCAGGAACATTGTGTCCACCCCTTGCCCTT